TTGTTGTTTCTTTCCTTGTTTTTTCCTTGGATTTGAGTTTACAAGACCCCAATTTCATTTTTTGTAGGTCAAAATTCAACTTTTACCGCTTTCATTGCCTCCACAGCATTACCGTCCCCATTGGCAAAGGTAATTGAGATGTTCGTGGTTTGTTATACAAAATTATATTGTCTTATTTGTAGATTAGTGTAAATTATTACTATTATTGTATGAATTGTAAGTAAATTGTTGTTATTTCTTTCAAGTTTTTGAGATTGAAATTTGTACATTAATCACTTGCTTGAAGAGTTTTTTTTTTAGTAAATTTGTATATATAAAGCTATGGATTTTAGATTATTAAATTTGATATTAAAATTGATATTGATATTGAGATTGAGGTCTAAATATCTTGAAATAGAGTGATATTTATATTGAATTTCTATAGTTACGAATTTGTGATTTATTTCAAATTAGTTCAATTTGAGAGATTGATATTGAGATTGGGATGTGCATTATTATTGAATTAAAATGATATTTAGATTGAATTTTTATATATCAAATTGTTTATTTCAAATTATTGGGATTAAAATCGGTATGGTAATTAAACTAGAGTACCATTTATATTTAATATATATTTATAAAGTTACTAAATTAATTATATTGAGATTAATATATGTATGATTGTTGACAGATAGTAGTATTTTTTATATATTGAATTTATATACATAAAATAATTTAATTTAAAATTATTAAGATTAAGATTAACATGTGTGGTTATTGACATGTATAGCTATTAGTTGATATGTTTATATATTTTGTCAAATTGAAATTCAAATTAGGTAATTAAATGATGGACGATCGTAGTTGGATAAATCGTAGTTGGATAGATCATCGTGTAGATGATAGTGGTTTTGTTATTGATGAATTTAAAGAGGGGGTGCAAGTTTTTTGTGAGATTTGCATTTTCAAGATCGAAAGTAAAATCAAAGATTAAGTGTTCTTGTTCGAAATGTAAATGTAGTAAATGGGGGAATTCTGAGGTTGTCTCTGTGCATTTGTGTAAGCATGGGTTTATGAATAACTATTATACATGGTATGTTCATGGAGAGACATCTAGTAATACAGTAAGAAACTTTTAAGGGGAATCTTCTAATATGGAGTTGGTTAGAAATGAGGTAGATGCATTATACCATGAAATGGTAGTTGATGCAATGGGTGCACAATCTGCATACAATGAGGGGCCAATGGCTGAGGAGCCAAATAGTAAGGCAAGAGAATTTTATGATCTCCTGCATGCTGTAGAAGTTCATATTGGTGTTGGGGGACACGATGTTATAGTATTTTCATGGATGGCAGAAATGCTAAACATGAAAACTTTTTATAATATGAGTGCTGCTAATTGGAATATGGCATTGTCATCGAGTTGAAAGTTGTTGAGTTTAGAGGACTAAGAAAAGGTGCCAAAAGATTTCTGCAGTGCCAAAAAAATGATAATGTGCTTGGACTTAGGTACAAGAAAATTGATATTTGTGTCAATGATTGCTTCTTGTACTATGATGAGCAAAGTAAAAATTTAACTACTTGTCCAGTGCATGGAGAATCTTGTTAGGAGCTGAGGAATATGTCTGCTATAAGGCAAAAAAAAGTTTCAAGGAAATCTCTGTGGTACCTTTTAATTACCCCAAAATTGCAGCAACTATACATGTCTAGGAAAACAATAGAGCACATGACATGGCATTTGAAATGCTATGAGGATGTGGATGAAGTTATTCATCCTGCAGCTAGTGAGGCATGGAAAAACTTTGATGAAACCCACCCAACATTTGCTGATGAACCTAGAAATGTTAGACTTGGCCTTTGTACAGATGGTTTCAATCCATTTGGTTGCTCCGCAACACCTTACTCTTGTTGGCCTGTTTTTCTTATAGTGTACAACCTTTCTCTTGAATTGTGTATGAAGTCAGAGCATATATTTCTTGCCATGATAATTGCTAGACTTAATAGTGCAGGAAAAAAAATTGATGTCATGCTTAGGCCATTAATTGATGAACTCAAGGAATTATGGACAAATGGGGTTGAAACTTATGATAGTTTTAGACAACAGAATTTTATGATGAAAGTTGCATTGCTATGGACTATAAGTGATTTTCCAAGTTATGGCATGCTATCTAGATGGAGCACACATGGGAAGTTGTCATGCCCTTATTGCATGGAGAACATTAAGGCTTTTTAACTTCAATATGGGAGGAAAACATCATTTTATTTGTCATCGTCAATTTTTACCTCCTAAACATCCATTTTGTAGAGATAAGAAAATTTTTTATCTCAATAGAGTTGAAAAAAGCTGTCCCCCCCAAGAGTAGATGGTACCTTGATGGAAGAAAGGGTTAATCAACTTCTTGACATAGTCTTTGGCCAGCCACTTCGTAAACATTCAATTGCAGGATTTAGTGTGTTTCATAATTGGGTGAAACAAAGTATATTTTGAGAATTGCCATACCGGAAGGATTTAGTGATTCATCATAACCTTGATGTCATGCATTGCGAGAAGAATTTTTTAGATAATATTAAAAATACTATCATGGATGACAAAGGTTGTACGAAGGATAACACTAATACTAGATTGGATTTACAACTATATTGCAATATATATGAATTAGAATTGATACCTCAAGATGATGGAACAACTATAAAACCCAATTCTACATATGTTCTTACTTGAGAGCAAAGAGCTTTTATCTGTCAGTAGCTAAAGGAATTGAGATTCCCAGATGGGTATGCATCCAACATAGCATGATTTGTTAACATGCAGGAACTTCGATTTTTTGGGATCAAAAGCCATGATTGTCATGTATTCATGCAATGTCTCTTGCCAATTGCTTTCTGTGAGTTTTAATTGCTCCGATTATTCAAGTCAGTAACATGAAGATGTGGGAGGAAAAAATTGTTGAGACCATTTACAAGCTAGAGAAAGTATTCCCACCAGCATTATTTGACTTAATGGAGCATTTGGTTATCCATCTACCATATGAGGCAAAAGTTAGAGGACCTGTCCAATTTTGTTGAATGTATTCTTTTGAAAAGTATATTTCTTCTAATATATCTTTGCATCACAATAACATTCATGAGCATTATTTAATAATTTAATGTTATTAATTAATTTTTTTATTTGTTTGACAAAAAATGCATGACCTTAAGAAAATAGTGTTGAACAAAAATCGTGTTGAAGCTTCGATTTGTGAGTCTAATATTCTTTCAGAAATTACCTTTTTTTGCTTGCATTATTTTGCATTTTACATAGAGACAAGATTGAATCGTCAACCAAGAAACATTGTCGACATGAATGATGATATGGATGATTGTTTGTTTATCTTTAAACATCGAGGTCAACCACTAGATGGAGAAATGCGTATGTGTGCATTGTCACTCAAAAACTAAAGGCAGCAGAACTTTATGTTTTGCTTAATTGTGAAGAAGTTAATCTATGAATTGTGTATATTCTCTAGTTCTAACTTTCATTTGTTTAAGTTACTAGTATGTATACATTGCTTACTCCAACTTCTTCATGTAGGCTTTTTGATTATTAAGTATGTTTTGGTCTATCAAAGAATCAAATTCAAATCAAACGACAACTTGAATTTATTCCTTGGTTTAAGACAACGGTAAGTAATTTATTTTAATAATTTTTATTATTAGGATCTCAATTTTTATATATTTTAGGATTAAATATTAAATATTTTTATAACAAATCTAGGTGTGTAGTGGAAGATATGAGGTTGATTCTCGCCTTTTGCCTTTAGTAATTGGCCCAGTCAATAACGTTAGGGTATACAATGGTTATTGGGTTAATGGATTCCGGTTTCATACTATCGTATATGAACAAAATAAAAAGACCATGAATAGCGATGTTTGTATGAAGGGAGCCACTTTCAATGATGAGTTAGATTATTATTGGAGTTTGAAGGAAATAATTGAGCTTCAATATTTTGACTCATATGTTCATCAATCAATGATTTTGATCAAGTGTAAGTGGCATGATATCAATAAAGGCATTGTGGTCCATCCGACATTTGGTATAGTTGACATCAATCCCTAGTTTAAATTACAAATAGATGAACCATTCATATTGGCCAGTCAAGCTCAACAAGTGTTTTATGCCTGCTACCCATCTCAAAATCCTTGTAGAAAAGGGTGGTTTGCTACATGTAAGATTAGAGCAAGAGCAATAATTGATACTTCATCGTTGAGTGATGGTGGAAATGTTTATTATCAAGACAATGATCCTCCTATGCCACAATTGGTGCAACCCTCGACTATTTTAAATGATCATGTTTCACTAGCATCTCAAGGGGGAGAACAAGTGATGATTAGTGAGGTCATGCAATTGCCATATGTGGCAGAGGGAGAATGTGTGGGTGAGAATGATGATGAAGAGGAAGAGTTTGATGGAACGGAAACATCAGAAGAAGAAGTTCCAAATTACTTAACCGAGAGTGATAGTGACTAAATGTATCTTATTTGATTTTTTTAATTAATTGAACAAGGGATGAAGGACTACTTATATTTTCTTTATTATGTGTTTCCATTAATGACTTTTGTTGTACTTATGATTTTGATTATTACAAAACACATTTGAGTGACTAATTGGTTTATTTAAGTGTGTAGTTAAGTTACTAAAAGATTGCAACTAAACTTGGATTGCACTAAAAATAGACCAAAAGGATTCAAAGTGTGCAGAGAGCCGGCTCTTGAAAGCTGTAGCCGGCTCTGGTGAAATGGAAGTGCAAAGAGCCGGCTCTGGAAGCTGCAGCCGGCTTTACAGGCAAAAATTTAAAGACCGTTGTTTGGTGCGTGCAGAGAAAAGGCGCAAAGTCGGCTCCAACTTTATAGCCAACTGTGAGGGTGCATTTAATGCACAACGGTTGAGTTATTTGAAGATTATTTAATATATTTAAAGTCGGAATTCCAAAGCCGGCTCAAAGTCTTGCAACCGGCTCTCAAGGAAAACAGAATGGCCTGCAAACCCGGATAGCCGGCTCTGGAAGTGTAAGTCGGCTCTAAAGAGCCGACTCTAGAAAGCTAAGCCGGCTCTCCTGACAAACCTGCAGCTCAAGCTTTGTGTCCTGCAGAGCATTTAATGACCCCCAACGGCTAGTAACGACTATTTTCAACCATGGGGTTATAAATATGAGTGGTAGAAGATCTGAAGAGGGTTAGAGAGTATTGTATTGAATATCTTTACTACCAACTTGTGCTTTAACTTGAGATTTTGATCTTTGAGAAATCTTTATTTGTAATCCTCTTCTTGTGCTATTAGTAAGTGATCTTGGGGGTGTGTTGATTCCTTCAAGAGTGATCTGTAGAGAGGATCTTTGGGGTTAAAGTGTAAAGGGGTGAGATTTGAGAGAAACCCTTCTTCTTGTAAAGGATTGAGTGGCTCATTTAAGCCACCATTGTTTTTGTTAGTGGAGAGTGTGGAGGAAATCCTTGGTGAGTGAAGCCAAGGTAGAGGACTAGGCTCCAAGTGGTTGGACCGAACCTCTATAAAATCATTGTGCAAGCTCTTCTTCTCAACTCTTTCTTTAATTTTTGTTTGGTGGTTGCAAAGAGGTGAAAATTCTCCAACTCCAATTCACCCCCC